CTACCATTGTGTCATTCTCCAGAGGCTTCAGCGAGCGACGGCTGATGAACTATTCCAGTGGTCGTGATACTGAGAAGTTACCCTCCAGAATGAGTCCTGTGACGAATGGTGAAGTACCCATTCTCTGCTGAATAGACTGTACGATCATCAGTGCGGCCATGCGTTGCTCCAAATCATCCATTTGTTGTAAGATACAACGCTGGCAGATTTTGGCCATAGGGTAGATGTCCTGCTAGGCATTGAAAATGTGGAATCATTTCCTCACATCAGTATAAAAAAGAGATGGCAGGCGTCCCAGTCCCCTGTTCTTTCAGCTCGAATGATAATGTTTGTAGAAGACCCACTGTTGGTTGTACTCGTAACCTACAGCTTACTCGGTCCTTGGCTCTGACTTGCAGTTATATCAGAGGATTGTGAATTGATCTGGCTCACTGGCTTCATACAGCTCGCTCCTCTGCTACGTCGTGGCAGCTTTGATCATTGTCAGAAGGCTTGTACAGGTGTCATGAGTGGTCTTTGTCAACACTATCCAAGGCCTGTGCATCTATCAAGACACTTATGAGAGCAGCTGAAGTGAGATGTAAGCACGTACGGCGTGGGCAAAAAAGGCATGTCCAGCAACATCATATGTAGTATGGATCCTTAGCATAGACTGTAGTTTCGACCGCACTTTCAAGTCTGGAAAAATGGCGGCCATGCTTGATTATGGGTAGGCTTGCATCACTTGAAACGCTCACAAAAAGTACCTAAGTAGATTCCTTGGGCAATAAAGACATAATATTAGACATTTATTCATGTTTCAGCTTCGACTGGAGGCGGCAGAGTTATGGGATAAAAACCCAAGATAAGGCGGCAATTTGGACTGCGAATCTTGGATTCTGGAAAACGCACAAGGGGATTTCCGGGACTTTTATATGTTTATTCTACTGCACATTTTTCTGAACTATCCTGAAAAATTCAGCCTTCGTTTTGAAAACCTGTCCGGGTTTTAGCTAAAAATTCTGGGACTATTGTGGCAGGTGGAGATTGAGGCCTATGAGGGCGAGAGCGCCATCTGTCGTGGAGTTTGGCGATGACTCGTAGAGTACATAATGTAAGCCTATCATTTAAGGTGTTGATCAACAGACGAGGCCGTCCATAAGGCTGCAGGCCTGATAAGCATACGAACAAGATATTAATAAAAATACTCAGCACGCTGTTACTTCGGCTACACAACATACACTTCTATCATGGTTTAATATAACTACAGATTCAATGCCTATGCTCCGGCTCGACCTTTTGCCAGTCTATGATGCGAATTTCTGCAAGCTTGTCTGGACACATTTCAATACACAAAAAACACGACACGGCTCGCGTCTGACACGCCACCTGACGGAAATTCTCACGAATACAAACAAAAAATAATTTTACTTCTAATGCTTTCTCGCCGCGTCCACGAGGCATCCAACTTGCGTGCAGCAATGCTAATTATTGCGTAGGCTCTAGTGCCGAATTCGGCGAAAAATGCCGAAAAAAGGCTTTTCTAGAGACGAAGTAGTGGCAACGGTGAACAATCTTCGGAGGCTTTACTGTTTATTTTTTGGTTTTCGCCCTCCTTAAAGGAGCAGAAGCGAGACGTATCGACTTGAAATTTAGAATGAATGATTTGCGACCTTTTTCGCTTATACGGGTATCTAATTTCCAAAGGTGCATAACTCCACGGCTGAGATAATCGCTCTCGGAAAAAGCGCACCTCAAAACACAGAGAATCAATGTTTCGCTCAAATGCGGTTATGCGTAGTGTTAGATACGAGGGTTTTAGGGTAACAATGCAAGCATAAAGTTAGATATTTTTTACACTGTTAGGGTAGTAGTGCGCACAATTAGAGTAAAACAAGATAATTATGCGTAATTTTTTGAGGCCAGCCAAATGTGTTGTAAAATATAGTGGTATTTTATGTAAATTACATGCAAATATGTACACGGATATGTACATGTTTACATAAAAAACATGTATAATGTTATTTTGAGCATGCATGTGACTAAAAAGCATGCTAGAGCACCTAGCATAACAGTATTTTCATTACGCTATAGAAACTCCAATTAATTTCGACTTACGCTTGCAAAACCTGCACTCCTTAAGCATGTTGGCGCTTAAGGTGTTGATCACTTAGAGGGCCGTCCATCTAAGCTGGCAGGCCTGAATCAGCATCAAGCAGCATATTAATTAAAAATATCACACTGTTACTGCTTCGCTTACACAACATACATCTTTAGTTCATGTGTTAAATGAACTACATGATTCATCGCTTCTAAGTGCTCCGCTCGAAACTTTTGCGGCAGCTTATGAGTCGAATTTCTGGCAAGTTGTCTGGACACATTTCATACCAAAAACAGCGGAACGGGGCGGTGCTCTAGACTACGCCAGCCGTGACGGAATTGCCTCACGATATAGCAAAACAAAAATAATTTTAGCTCTATCGCTTTCTCCCACGTCCACGAGGCATCCAACTTGGCGTGCACAATCTAATTATTGGCACTCTAGTGGCCGAATTATCGGCGAAACACAAAATGCCGAAAAAAGGCGGCTTTTCTAGAGGACGACCAGTAGCTGCAAAGCGGTGAACAATCTCGGAGGCTTACTTCTATACGGCCTCTTAATAAGGCAGAGAAGAGAGACCGGTATCGACTTGAAATTTTAGATGAATGATTTCGACCTTTTGCCTGATACGGTAATCAAGATTTCACAGGTGGCATAACTCCACGAGCTGAGATATCGCCTCTGCCGAAAGAGCCCGCCAAACACAGAAATCCATGTTCGTCATGCGGTTATGGTAGTGTTAGAACGAGGGTTAAGGGTAAAATGCAAGCATTAAGTTAAGATATTTTTACACTGTTAGGGTTAGTATGTGCCAGCAATAGTAGTAAACTGATCAGATATTATCTATTTTTTGAGCACCAAATGTGTGTAAAATTTAGTAGTTTTATGTAAATACATGCAAATATGTACACGGATATGTAAGTTTACATAAATAAACATGTATAAATGTTATTTGAGGGCATGCATGTGACTAAAAAAACGATGCTTAGAGCACTAGCATAACAGATTTCATTACATAAACTCAATTATTCGAGCTTCCTCTGGGCATAAAGCGCACGTCTTTAACGATGTGCTGCTTAAGGTGTTGATTCAAACAGTAGAGCCGTTCCCATTAGGCGCAGCGCGGCTGAATAAGCATCGAACAGATATTAATTAATAAAATACTCAACGATGTTACTTCGGCTTGACACACCATACACTGTTATTCATGTAACATAACTACAGATCATGCTCTAATGCTCCGCTCCGAAACTTTTGGTCCCCAGCTTCTAGTGATTGCGAATTTTCTGCAAACGTTGTCTGGCACATTTTCGATACACAAAAAACACGAACCGTCGCGTGACTACGCCACCGTGCGGAGATCTGCACGAATACAAAACAAAAATAATGTTAGCTTCTAATGCTTTCTCCTACGTCCACGAGGCAATCCAACTTGCGTTGCCACAATGCTAATTTATTGCGACTCTAGTGCCGCAATTTCGGCGAAAAAAATATGCCAAAAAAGGCCTTTTCTAGAGACGAAGTAGTGCAGTACGGTGAACAATCTCGGAGGCTTACTGTTATAGCCTCTAAAGGAGCAGAAGAAGACGTTATCGACTTGAAATTTGAGAGTGAATGATTTCGACCCTTTTCCTTATACGGTATCGAATTTCAAAGGTGGCATACACTCCGGACGAGGCTGAGATATCGCTCTCTGGAAGAAGAGCCCAAAACACAGAAAAATCAATGTTCGGCATTCACTGCGGTGTTATGGCGTAGTGGTTAGAGAGGGTTAGGGTAAAAATGCAAGCATTAAAGTTAAGATATTTTTACACTGTTAGGGTTAGTAGTGCCAGCAATAGAGTAAAACGTAAGATAATTACTATTTGTTTTTCAGAAAAGCGAACAAATGTGTGTAAAATTAGTGATTTTATGTAAATACATGCAACTATTGTACAACGATAAGTGTTACATGTTACATAAAAACATGTATAAATTTATCTTGAGCATGCATGTGACTAAAAACATGCTAGAGCACTAGCATAACAAGATTTTCATTACATAAAACTCCATATTATTCGAGCTTCCTTGGCAAAAGGCGCACTCTTTAAGCTATGTGCTTTCAGGTGTTGATGCAACAGTAGAGGCCGTCGCATAGGCTGCAGGCCTGAAATAAGCATCGAACAGGATATTAATTAAAAATACTCAGCACTGTTAGTGTTCGCTTACACAACATACACTTTATTCTATGTTAAATAAACTACAGATTCCCTGCTCTATGCTGCGCTCGAAAAAGCTTTGGGCACTCTACCTATGATGGGCGATTTCTGCAAAGTTGTCTGCACACATTTCATACACGAAAAAACACGAACCGGGTCGCGTCTGATACGCCACGGCTGACGGAATCTCACGAAACAGAGACAGAAAAATAATTTTACTTCTAATGGCTTTCTCCAACCAGTCCCGAGGCATTCCAACTTGCGTGGCACATGCTAATTATTGGGCAGCTCTAGTGCCGAATTCGGCGAAAAAAAATGCCAAAAAGGCGCTTTCTAAGAACGAAGTAGTGGCAGACGTGAACAATCTCGGAGGCTTAACTGTTATACGCCTCCTTAACGGCGTCCCTATGCCTCTTGGTTTGGTTATAAAAAGCATTATTGTATCTAGGCTGACCGTAGCTCTAGAATAGTAAGCCTTCGCTCCGGCCGCAGGGAGGAATCGAGAACTGCGGCGGAGCGGAAGGCGCCGGGAGGTTTATAGTAAGTTCCTAGAGCTAGGCTGACCGTATTTGCGCAAATTCGCATTGATAATCGCATAACAGCTAAAGGCATAACAGCACATTTTATGAAAAATATAGGAATCTTCCAAACAACTTGAATCTGGTTTTTTTTTTGTCTGCAAGCGATTCTCATTTAGTAATTGTTGTTGTCAATGTGGTGCTGCGCTAGCAGTAGGCAGTTTCATCAAAAACCTGAGCAAAAACTAGTGCTTGTTATTTTTCGTTTCAGAATTTTCACAAGTAATTAAAGTCGTTGTCATGAATTATGAGTAGGCCTATTCAATACAGTAGCCTGAGTAGGCCCTAGCAGGTATGGGTGAGCAAAAGTGTCACATAATGGTCGTGCTCGTGGTGTAGGTTCGGGAATTGTTTATCCGCGTAGTAACGCTGGTTCAAGGATTAGTCGGAGATTGCCTCTGACTCAATGCGCCGACACCGACGATTTTGGGTGTTTTTGGTGTGGGTTAGATGCTAAACTACTACACAGCAAAAGCTACTATAACCCACCCAAAAACCAACCAAGATCGTCGATGTGGGCATTGGTCAAGGAAATCTCGACTAGTTCAAGGATAGAGAACATGGGTTCGTTGTCCGTATGCACTATCAGGTACTGCAGGTAACCCGACCAGGCTGTTGTGACTAACGTCAATAGCACGGCTAGCCCGTCAATAGGTGATTCTAACCCTAGCAATTACCGTTTCTTGGAGCTAGTACTGAGTAGGCTGCTAGTACTATAGCCCGGCGGATCGGCCTGCGGCAAGCGATGCGCCGGGCTAATAGTACTAGAGCTAGTACTGAGGAGCCTCTAGTACGATAGCGACGCTTACATTAACTGCCGCTGGCACAGCGGCATGTTATGTAATGGCGGCTATAGTACTAGAGCTAGTACGAGGCTAGTGAGGTACTACAGAAGTTATGACATTTCAATCTTATTTTGCATAATGTACAAGACCCTGATACCGCTCACTAAGTTCTATTGGTTTTGTTGTACGATGAAAGATGAAGTTTGATCTAAATCGCCTCATCAAAATCTCAAGCAATGCTGACAGAACGGCCATGAAAATCTAATTTCCATACGGCCTAAGAGATATAACTACTAACTCTGACCTAGGTATCACGAATGTGTTAGGGTTAGGTTAGGGTTTTTGCATGCATTCCTTGATATACGGAATTTTGTGGGGCATCAGTTGAGATACAGCGAGAAATCTGTGCATCACTTCGTGATACTAAGGTGCACTAAATGAATTTGCACCCTACAGATATGTAGGGGCCTATCCTAAACCGACCAGGCTCTCCGACTGTTACAATCGTTATTCACTTCTTAAAAGATTGTTTTTCAGAAACACCGGCTTTGTTCCACTTTTCTAAATCATTCGCCATTTACAAAGCAATCAGACCAACAATCAGAGCGAGTCTTACAATAGCCTGGTTCTCGCTTGTATCTGTGGCGCTGCAGGAGGGCTGATAGACTCGCTCTGATTGTTTGTAAATGGCGAATGATTTAGGAAAGTGGCACGAAGCGGGGTTTCTGAAAAACAATCTTTTAAGAAGTGAATAACGATTAAAGTGAATTTATACACATATCAGTAGCAAGGTAAAGCCATGTAGAAGGGAACGGTAGGTTTTTTTTCGCGCCAATAGCGGCGTACGGGCCGCATTAGCAGCGCATGCATTTTGCTAGCTCCAAGAAATGGTATTGCTAGGGTTAGAATACCTATAGACAATCCGTAGGCAATCCGTCGACAATCCGTTGTCCGTAGACAATGTATAGACAATCCGTCGCACAGCCTGGTCGGGCTGGTTCTAGGACAACTACCCCTGGACAATTACCCACCGGAAAATTACCACCCGGACAATTACCCACCAGGACAATTACCCACCCGGACGGTTACCCACCAGGACAATTACCCACCCGGACAATTACCCACCAGGACAATTACCCACCCGGACGGTTACCCACCCGGACAACTATACCCACCAGGACAATTACCCACCAGGACATTTGCCCCCCGGACAATTATACCCACCAGGACAATTACCCACCTAACCTTCCAATAAGGGAAAAATTCCCCCTTTCGTAAATTTTTGGCCGCTGCAATACATAATGTATGTCTGGAAAAAAGAGAAACGCCTACCCCATGTGTTCAGAGAACAGCGGCGTCGATAATTGGGAGGGGGGGAGTCGCCCCTATCCCTCCTATAATGACAGAAATGTTGTATCCCCAAATGATCTTGCTCTTGGCCATGTACGTTATGTTATGTAACTGTTTGTGCGTGTGTGACGTATATGTGGCTGGCTGTGTGCGCGTTGCGTGGTGACGTGTGCAAGTACAGTTGATGCCGTGGTGTTAACGATACATCGTACATTATATGTGTTGCCGACATCGTGGGAGTTATGTTTCTATTCGGCTTAACTCGGTAAGCGTCTAATAGGGGCACGATGTTAAGGTAACTCGAGTTAAGGCCCGTATAGACGCTTAACTCGACGTTAATGCCGAGCACGTTAAAATAAATGTGTGTTATTCTTGTATCAGCCCCAGAAAATGTATAGGACATGTACTGTGTGATTGGTCGGCTGCGTATCCCCGCTTCCGTGCTGCATGCGCAGGTGCAGGCGATTACTTGCCGATATGAACTTCCATATTCGGGTATGGAACAATGTCGCAAATAATCAAAATCATTAGGCAAGTATCAAGCGATATTGTTGAAAGTTGAATTATTGAATATCATGAAGTTGCCGTTCCGTTAGATGATAATCATTCATTACTGTACGGGCGTGCTGTGGTGGCTGGGGAGGGGCCTAGAGGTAATTGGTTCGCGGGTGGCGCGCGGTAATTGTCCTGCTGTGGGTAATTGTTCTGGTGGGTAATTTGTCCGGAGTGGGTATTGTCTGTGTGCGGTAATTGTCCGGTGGGTAATTGGTCTGGGCTGGTAGTATTCCTAGTGAGGTAATATGCTTCTAGGTGCTCGGTAATTGTGCCTGGTGGTAAATCCGTCCTGAAGTGGGCTAAATCTTTTCTGGTGGGTAATCGTCCGGTGTGGGGGTTAATTGTCCTTGGGTAATTGTCCGGGGGGTACATTGTTAGTGGGTAGTGTGCCGGATTAGCGCCGTGGAGCTAGGCATTTGCGCATGCGATCTCACTGAAAATTTTCAATATGACCCGTTATCTGTCCAATAACCCTCACCAAAATTACAAAGGTACGTTATATGGGACAGAATTTATTCTGTCGTATCCTAACACTGAACCCTAAACCCTAAACTGTAAACATACTTCGATTAAAAATATTAAACATAATACTAGACAACTATAAGCTACCTCCGGGTAACATATCTGTAGTACTACTACCTGCATATGAACAACGACCCATTCTGCTATAAAGGGACCGCGACACTAACCAGCCATGCCATCGGCAGGTACCAAGGTCAGAGAGTCAAGGTCAATGCGCGCACCAGGGCAGATTTATTAGAATTTTCTGAGGACATGGTCTGACCGTCGAGCGTTTTGAAAAACTTTTTCGTATTTAGCAGTTGACCCTAGCATTTTTATGGACTTTATTGAATAGGACCAATGAAATGTTCTTTCTGCTGATATGGCGCTAGAGTCAGTGTCGGATACTTTTGACCCTCAAGAGGAGGGAAGTTAACATGGATTTGTTTACTATTAGAAGATTTGACTGCGGGTTTGATAGTAGAAATCGGTATACATGCCTGACATAGTATGGAGGCCTACAATGTCCAGTGTGAAATTTCAAAAGCTAAATTTGATGTTGAGAAGGTTTATGCCCTCCTTATAATCGCATATAATTTTTATAGGCTTTCTGTACTGTGCAGTGTGTTACCGTTAACGTATGCCATGCCAGTGGCTTACTGTGTAGTTTTTGCCTGCCGTTAATTAGTTACAGGTTTTTGGCAGCTCTCTATTTTGCCTGTTATGGCTGCGTAGGTAAATGGTATTGAGTGACTTACCCTATTCTGTCTTGCAAATAGTTTGTTAGCTAACTACGTACGATGGGAGGCTTTCCAGTCTTTAATCTGATAGACATCTTAAAAGTTACGCAGCCAATCTCGCGTGGACAACTTTTCTAACATTCCCACTGAAATTCTTTGAGAGTTCCTGATACCTATCCTGTGCTTCCACTGTTTCGGCGTGTATGTGAACACTTTGGGACTAACAGGGTTTACTAGAATCCCACCACTCCACCACAGAGTCACCGCAGTAGACGTTAGATGATCGCTGTCTCTCCGCGGCACTTGTTTCTTCTTCTTTTTCCTTCTTTCTTTTTTTTCTTTTCTTTTTTTTTAATTTTAGGGGGATATTAGTACAAGCCATCCCCCCTCCTGCAAGAGCGGGGGGATGCATCCCCCCACCCCCTTGGGATTTACGCCCCTGCTAACACCCTAACCCTACCCCTAACCATATCAAATAGTAACCTCGGGTACATATTAATATACGCCATTATATGCCAACGACCCTTCGTTCCTAAGTATGAGTATGATCTAGTACTGTACTACAGTCTGTAGTAGTATCGACTAGTATTAGTACTATAGTAGGCCTACCGTAATGATAATGGTATAGATACAATCAGGAGGGTATAATATAGACTCGAGATATGTCTATAATAATACACTCTTGAAGGATTCCTTTGTTTTCACGTGACGTCACACATTGTGTGTAGTATACTCCCTTGTCCACGACCAAAGGCACCATTTTACTTCCCTGGCGAAAGTGCCGGTACGGCGGTAGGCGGTAAAGCCAAGCCAAGGTCACAGGCACTTGGAACGTTTAAATACAACAAAATATGGTAAATAAACACGGAATGTATTTACTACCAAAGTCTTAATGTTTCTTTTTATTGTAAGTGTTTGTAACAGTAACTGTAAGTACTCTTTTCCTGTAAGTGCCGTTCATATGCACCTCTGCAAGACATATGAGTACACCGCACGCACAGCGGCTGTGAAATAACAAGAATAAAGAGCAGATAAAAAGTAAAGAGCAAAATAAAAAGAATGAAGAGCAAATAAAAAATAAAGAGCAAATGAACAATAATAACTTTATTCTTGTTGTTTGTGCACAGCATCATGTGTTGTAGGGGAGCATTTAAATGGCATTTACAGGAAATTATCAGCAATAACAGGCGAACGGGAGTAAAGAAACACGACTTCAAATGGTAGTAAACACATTCCGCATTTATTTACCATATTTTCTTATTGAAGTGTTCCAAGTGCCTGTGGTAAAGGTAAACAAAGGCAAAGTTGCTTGATGAAATGACATGTCTTACATAAACGTACGATGCCGATATGTGGTATTTTTGGATGTTCAAATTGCCGATGAGTGCTGAAAGTGAAAGACCTCAGTTTTTATAAAGTGGTTTAAATGATCAAGGAGAAGAAACGAGGAAATTATCAGAATTAAGGCTAAGGATATGGAAAGCAGCTAGAAGTATAAACAGGAAGGACAACAACTGTTCTAAGAAAAGTTATGTTATGTTCTTATACTTGTCGGTGTCCACTACACTGGATATAATGACAAGGGCTATAGCTAGCCATGAGGTGTGACCTAGCTTGGGTAAAGCCAGGTAGTCAGCCTTTTAGCCAAATGGCACTGAGGGTGGTCACAGCCAGAGTACCTTTGCGTCCTCAGTGGTTCTTTTACGTCCCCATTGGCTAGTATTTCTGGAGACGGGACCGCCATTTTACGTGGTCATCCGAGCACAATAACGACTGTTTAATTGTTTCCTTGAAACATTTCGTGTGTGGTATGTTGCTTGCATGCATTTAACAGACACTAGACTCTCTGAGTCGTAATGGTGGTAAATTTAAACTGAGCTAGAGCAAATGGGTAGTGGGCACACGCCTAACTGGTGCATCATATGCTACAGTTAGCAAAAGTTAGTCACTTGTATTCTTCATAAATTTTTTGATCAAATTTTTTTACATTGGTTTCAATATTTTTTGTAGGAACTATGCCACTCTACTGTGCAGTACCGTTGTGCAATCGTTCTGGTGGGCACATGTTTCCTAAAGATGATGAGCTTTGTAAAAAGTGGGTTGTGGCTATAAAACGTTTGAAACCTGATTCAAAACAGTTATGGCAACCGGGTAAATATCATGTTGTGTGCCACAGGCATTTCAAGGAAACAGACTACAAACCACCAGGATTATTAGGTTAGTGAGGTAAGCTTTATTACATTTACCTTTTTTTAAAGTATAGGTATTAATATTCAGGCCTATTGTACCATAGAAGCCTTTCTGTGAGTTAGCCAGTCCGTAAATCAGTAAATTTTTGTTCAAATCAAAACGAATGATGAATCAAATTTTATTCATCATAACACAATGCTGTGACGAGACCGACTCTGATGCCGACAGTCCATTTGCCATGACTTCAAAAACAGGCTCCCAAACAACTTGTATTGTTGTTTCTCTGAAGAGTGTCCTTAGTGTATTGAGTCAATGAGATGCACTGCGGGGGGGGGGGATAGTGTGTAATGGTATAGAGGCAATCCAATGCCCAGAAAACGTGGATCGACAGGGAAGACAATGATCCTATAGTGTAATGTCCTCGGGTGTGGTGTGGAGGCCATAACGCTGATAACCCGATCCGCATCGATCCATATAGCTGGAAGAATTTATTGTTGAAATGGCCAAACATGCAAAAATCAATATGACCAATATATTGAATTATTTATTTTCAACTGGAAATAGACTCCCCAGCTAAAAATCGTGTTTTTGCTATATTTTAATTTCCCCGCATGAGGGGATCCATAGGACAGGAAACATGTTACCAATGGCAGTGCAAAAGTACTGTTTGAGCGATCCTGATTCCTAGCGCTATTCGATCCCCGGGTCCCCCCCTTCCTGTGGTCCATTTCATTGACTAGTGCATATGTACGGAGAGTAGTGAAGCGCATCGGAGTAAACATTACACTGACTCTGAGGTTCTTGGTGTAGTCCAATGCATAAAAGCAATTCTGTACCCAAAATCTTACAGATATGTATAATTTATTTTACAGGACTAAGGAAACTCTTGCTACCATCAGCAGTCCCGTCAGTTTTTGACTTTAAACCGACATCCACACCAGCTGCACAGCGGAGGGACGAACGTGGGCTTAAAAGAAGAAAGCTATTTTCACCAATCCCAAACATAGGTAATCAGGAGGAAATGGTTTCAACTGAAAACATTTCTGACAATGAAAATGTCATAGTTGATCAAGGAATTCAGTGCAGTTTATTAAAACACTCAGCAAGATTCGGAATCCATCAAATTCAACACAGTGCAGACCAAATTAAATATTACAACGGCTATGAGGATGCTGGACATTTTGACTATGTGTTCCAAGTTTTAAGACCTGCCGCACATGAACTATGTACAGGGAAGCATGTTCTATCATCAAAAGATCAATTTTTATTGACAATCATAAATTTGAGAACAGCAAAAGATGACGAGACGCTTTCTTACATGTTTAACATAAGTAAAGTTTCTGTTGGATCTATTATTACAACCTGGATAAATTTTATGTTTTACCAGTTCAAAGATTTGGATATATGGCCAGATAAAAAAGAAATTTTAGAGTACATGCCGATAAATTTTTTAAATCACGTGGGTACAACGAAAATTTGATTTTCAAGCTCAGACTACGGCCTATTTAGCCTGAAGAAGAGCCCTGTCGATTTTAAAGTCTCTACCCCCACGATTTGAAAATGAATACCGTGGACACAATACCATCTCTTAGTACTAGTGCCGCATACCAGTTTTGTTTCAGGTGCACCTTGTCCGATGGCATTGGATTTGATTCAGAGTATTCACAATGGTTTACCACTGCCCCATGGCAGTGTACAGCATGAACTAGTGAGAGGTACCTACGACTACTGGCATTACCTGTGTGACCAGTTAGATGACAGAGTAAGAACAAGTATAAAGCACATTTACATTTATAATATTTTTGTTTCACAGTGTGCCATGTAATCCGTGAATGAATCCTGGATAAACTGTTGATTTATTGATCACTGATCAGTTAGAGCAACTAATTTTGTCTGTGTGAAATATTTTGTGCTTTCATTTTCAAACACTCCTACATTTGGTATGTTGCAACAGGGATGGGGATGTGGATACAGAACGTTACAGACTATCTGCTCTTGGACAAGTAACCAGCTAAGACTGAGAGAACAGCCAAGTCCTCATGTTCCCAGCATCCCGGAAATACAACATATCCTCGTGAAACTGGGGGATAAAGAGGCAGAATATGTTGGCTCAAGAGAATGGATAGGCAGTTTTGAAATCTGCTTAATCATAGACCATGTTTACAGTGTGGGTTATCATGAGATACAAACCATTTGTCATTGATTCATTATTATATTATATTTTGGGTCTTCAGTTTCATTTAAAAGATTGCATCATTTTGGTGCATATGTTATGTGTAATTATAAATCAGAAGTCTGCATGTATAGATTTCGGGTAATATCTGATAGCTGTTAGTCCAGCATTGAGAAAAGATATCTGAAATTTTCAAGTGTATCATGGTCTGGTCACCTTGGTCGTTTTTTCTACCCACAGGTGCCATGTAAGATTCTGCATGTGAGTGGTGGTGTACAGGAGCTAGAAAGCCATGCCGAACAACTTCTGGATCATTTCATGAAGTATGGATCTCCGGTGATGATGGGAGGCTCAACCGATACCTCATCCAAGGCGATCCTTGGTGTCGCGAGGTCAGACGATGGTCTACACCTGTTAGTCCTGGTAAATAAACTTTACCACCCACTTACCATCGTAGCGCTGACTGTGGCTGCACCAAAAACTATGGGATCCCAACCTCTGTAATGCGAGTTGGTATGAGAAGCGTGCAGTAGCAATTTTAGTGCTGTGCCTCACCGTATATAGTCGCGTAGAAGTATAATTTTTAGCTCGCCTTGACATCGTCAAGATGAGCTATTGCCATCGGTGTCGTCCGTCGTACGTCCGTCCGTCCGACCGTCCGTCCGTCAACATTTGGCTACGGTCAACGATAACTCAACAACCGTTTGACCCACATGTTTCAAATTGCATATAGTTGTTACTCCTATGGGAGAGGTTTGAACGTCCTATTTTGGAGCACGCCAGTCGACCTACATTCGAGCCACGTCCACTTTTTGGCAAAAATGGAAATGGCCATAAGTCAGTTCAGGTTCAATGGATTTTGCTCATTTCCGGTATGTGAATGAATGAGGACTGGCCCCAAAACATATCACACAGGTTTTGATTAGATTTGATTAGAACCATTTGACCCACGTTTCAAATTACATGCAGTTGTTACTCCTATGGGAGAGATTTGAACTTCCTATTTTGGAGCACGCCAGTCGACCTACTTTCGAGCCACGCCCACTTTTTGGCAAAAATGGAAATGGCCATCTAAATTCATTCGATTTTGTTAAATTTTGGTATGTGAATGTGTAAGGCTAGCCACAAAACAGTTGTTACTCCTATGGGAGAGATGACAACATCCTAGCTATTACGTTTATTTTGTCTAACTGGTCAACAACTCTACAATCATACCTATATACGTGTAATATTGTGTTTTAGATACTTTGTTACAGTAATTTGACTGGAATATTTTATTGTTTCTATTTGCGCGATATTCGAAAACCAAAATGGCCATCATTTCGGCGTAGCGCCATCTCTCGTCAAGATTTCAGACTTTCATATCTGAAACATTTATTTTTGCATCAAAACTTATGCATATATCATTATCAAGAGTATATAATGGGAGTTCTCCCATATATACTCGTGCTTTATATATCCCCCATCCCTCTTCTATCACACCCAAGGTGAGCTACAGTGTCATTGACACTTTCATTCTTGTCAGTTCTTGTGCTTAAATTTTAGCCTTCGACTTGAAAATGTGTAATACTCTGAAATTATTGAGGCGTATTTTATATAGGCTCATGAAACATGAAGAACCTAAATTTAAAAACTGGAGTAGTACACCAATCCTACCTGGTGCATCCCAGGAGATGTGTGTCATCAACAGAAGAAATGATGATGGCATAGGAAACTATTCTATATTTTGAATGAAATACACATTTAGTTTTCATAGACACATTTGAGCCATAATGGTAATGCTGTTACAGGACCCTCATTTTGTTGGAAAAGGGAGCGCAAAAAAGATACAAGAGGAAAACTGGATCAAGTGGCGTCACGTGTCATCATTTACAGACACCACCTTCTACAATATCTGCTGCCCATTGTTGAAGGCTAGGTAATTGCATCACATAGATGAGATACACAACTATGTTGGCTTTCTAATGACTATCACATTATGTTTGTAAACAATGTGACTGGCGTGAACAAGGAATGCATAATGCAATCAGTAACATAGTTTCAGATTGCCGAAGCACCAACAGTGGTGATCCTATATTAGAAACAGCAAGGGATCAAGTTTATGTAATATGTTAAATAGCACCATTACCGGATTAATAATAGCAAAAGTAGCATTTGCTACAGCCCCGCGGTTTTAGGGGTCCTGTAATATCATGAACTCCATAATATCTAATAGTAAAATTGTTATTATAAAAAAAAATCTTTTAGTATACATGTTAACTTAATACGATAATGAGTGTTGGCAGAGTTTGTTTGTCAGTAAATCTATTACAAATGTATTAGATTTAGATTAAGTTAAATTTATGTGTTTTAATATTTGTGTTTTTTTTAAATTTAGAGCCCCTTTATAACATGTGCTACAGGCCCCTGCACAAGCTTAATGCAGCCCTGAATAGCACATGATTTATATTTACAAATAAAAGACAATTGCAAACAAAAGAGGTGCAATCTGTTTAATGACTACAATTTTATTTCTACTCATTTCTACAAGTTGCAGAAACTGCCTAGTCCCATTTTTCAATAGTTGTTGCATATTTTAATCATATTTTACTGCGCATTTGGCTTTTTCGTTGGAAGTCTATAATCGCCATGCATTTTCTATTATGCAAGATGTGGTGTCTAAATGCTTAACCTTTAATATAACTAGTAATTATAATATTAATTACATCTGCTCACTGGCAAATTTAGCTTTGGTTTAATGCAAATTTTCAGGTAAATTTATGTAATATGTAATTGACATATTTCAACACACCCTAGCCCTACATAATAATTGTTTGAGTGTGATGAAACATGCTTGTAAAAGCAAGACTCACACCTGTCATAAATGCCTATTTAACAAACCAGAAGTCACCATTCCTTATATATCATGCACACATATATATCTCTGTCTATCTATATTTCATACATACCTGTTTACGTTTTGTGGATTAGCCATGCTAATTGGCTACACGTCTTGCTAACAATACCTCCATTCTTTCACTACTTTTCTCAACATAACACCGGGGTTAGGAAATAAATATGTAACTCTTCCTACAACAACTGTAATAACATCGATATATGTATATGCCAGAATGGAAATTTCAGACTAGCTTTATAACAGGCCAGATCTGTGATTGATTTAAATTCAGGTAATCGACTACAGTGTCAGACCTATGCTCTTCCTCATTCTGGCACAACCAACGTTAACCAAACACTTCTTCAACGTGACTGCAAACTTAGATGACAGTTTAGGCATAGTAGCAAGTATACTTGTTTATACGAGTACTGATACAAGCTTTAAAACTCAGCAAACCTATGACATTCGACGCAGCACATATAGAGCTGTTTTTCGTTTTTTCTTCTGGTCTTACAATGTCTCGCGTATATCAGATCCTACCCGGGGGTCATGTCTTTCACGGCTCGCACCGCACGCAGGGACGCAGCAAATCGGGGGGGAGCTTCACCGGCTAGTTTGCGAAGACGTCACCCATTGGCACCCAGATGTTCTTCACCTGGCAGGCGTGGTAGAGAAACTCCTCTCCCTGTCCCTGCGCGGGGTTGCTCCAGTCCCGCGTCTCGCCGTAGCTCACCCACGTCCGCTTGAGATTCTCCGCAGACATCGTCTCGACGAATTTGGCGCCCTCTGCCGAGCCAAAGTACCACATCGCCTGCGGAGAACAGAGAGAGGGAGTGAGTCGAGACGAAACTGAGAGTGAGAAGAAAAGCAGGCAGAGATGCGTGCCAATAACAGAGAGAGGGAGAGTTCAGAAGAAAAGCAGGCAGAGAAAGCCTGCCACTGCATGTCAACCGAATGTAATATTCCATCATTGCATGCTGAAGGCAGAGAAGAGTGGTGGCGCATTAACTTAAAACGAGTTAATTGAACTAAAGGATACTTTAATTTAATTACTAAGAAATATTTTATGGGCGTAACAAGTGCGCATCACGTCCTGCTGTCCATCCAGCTCGCCTACCTGAACATTCTGGTGCTCGGTTATGTACTTTGTGAGGTGGTCCCTGTTTCCAGTCAGGATGTTGACAACTCCTCCTGGCAAGTCTGACGTGTCAAATACCTGGAATCGTATGTAGATGTGCTCCCTTAGCGATATGCATGGATTTGCATCTAGGTAATGGTGGAGGTTACGTAGTGGGTAATCGTGTCACTTTGAACTATATCTGGAATATGGTTATCTAGCCAGTGATGATGCTCCTATTGCTCTATGAGTACACTCTATTGTACATCTACTGCTTTCACAGCAGTATCACCACAATAAATAGGAAAGAAGAAGGAACTGAAGTAACTTTTGAATTTTGGAATGCAGCGGTAAACAAAATTGTCGTTGTCGTTTTTTTATGAAATTACTGAACAAGATGCAATTCTAATAAAACATGGCAGTCACTGTGAAACATGCAGCCAAATTGCGAAAATAAGGTAAATATCTCCTTTCAAATTACGAATTTCACCCCCCTCCACATTTGGATTACTAACACGGGTCCAATAGTCATAGCCTATGCAAATCCCACCGTATCGCTGACCGCATACATATTGACATTCAGTGCAGCACAAATAGCTGTTTTTGCGTTTTTTTTCTGGTTTTACAATCTCTCGCCTATATCAGATCCTACCCGGGGATCGTGTTTCTCATGACAGCATGCGCACTTGCAAAGGCCAGCACTACGCAAAACCCACTGTACCGCCTGCCAGCGCACACTCGCCTGATAGAAGTCGAGGGCCGACACGGGGAACCTCTCGCTCGGCACGATGACGACGCAGTTGGCCCTGACGACGGCCGGCGCGAACAACGACACGAAGCCGAGCAGCGGGCTCTCGTCCGGGCACGCGATGCCGACGACGCCCATCGGCTCGTGGATCTTTAACGTCGCGCCGTACAGGTTCGTCTCCTGCGCGTAAACAAACGCGCGGCAGCCGCCGCCGTCAGATGGCGCTCGCCTTCAGCTTAGCCACGACGACACTTACTGTGCTTCTGATGACAACAGTGATCACGGCCAAGCGCCAGCCCTAAATATAACAAGGAGAGGAAGCGCCGCCATATCTGGCCCAAATTTGCCATATTTGCCATATGGCCTAGAACAGATTAGTAGTTCTATTGTCTCTGGGTTCAGGCTTGCACAACCGTTTCAGCTGATTATGGTCCATTAGAAACGGCGGCCTTGAGGCGAAAAGCACACAGCCAATTCGCTTCCTCTCCTTGTTATATTTAGCTCCTTGCTTCTGATGACAACAGTGATCACTCCAACTGTAACGGTGTTGAGCACAACTAACGCGTCACCGATTATGATCGTAACTATGATGATACTGTCAGCTACAGATATAACAGCTAGCGATGGTCACAGTCAGTAATAACAACAACTGTGATGATACTTTCAACCACAGCTATGACAGCTAGTGATAATACTGTTAACCACAGCTATGATAACTAACAACGATCACAACTAGTGATTATAATATTGTTAACCACAGCTATGACAACTAACAACGATCGCAACTAGTGATTATACTGTTAACCACGGCTATGACAACTAACAACGATCGCAACTAGTGATTATATTGTTAACCACAGCTATGACAGTTAGCAATGATCACAGCTATTGATGATAATGGTAACCACAGCTATGACAGCTAGCACTTCACAGCTAGTGATTATATTTACTGTCACCACTTCTACCTTTCTACGACAGCTACAAGCTGAATGCAGCTGTAACAATAACCTCGACATGTGTGACGGTTATACACTACAAAGAGCTGTGTGGCTAGGCAAAGCGCAGCCGGAGCCAGGGCTACACTCACCTGCACGGTCCCGCCGTACTTGTCGGCGAGCGCCCCCCAATAGAAGAGCCGCTGGACTGACAGGTCCACCTCACGTGTAGCATCGTCCAAGCTGCAACCAGTGCCGTTAGCCAGCTTGGCAGCAAACTCCTCTCGTCTCAGCTCCAAGTTCTCGGCCATGTAGTAGACTATCTGCGAGCGGTTAAAGGCGGCTCTCTTACCCCACCTGTTTGGAAGCCAGTAAATACAGGTAAAACATGGTGGTAAACAGAAATGGGACAGGCAGTAAACACAGGTCAAACATGTAGTAAACAAAGGTCAAACGTGTAGTGAACACAGGTGAGGGCAGGGAGCAAACACAGGTGAGTTAGGTAGTAACACAGGTGAAATGTGGTAACACAGGTGAGATAGTCAGTAAACACAGTGAAAATGTGGTAAACACAGGTGAGATAGGCAGTAAACACAGGTGAGATAAGTGGTACACATAGGCTTGACAAGGTAAACACAGGTAAGACACATAGTTAACACAAGTGAGATGTGTAAAAACCACAGCGGTGCAAACATCAAGTAAATACAAACACAGTTCTATCTCCTGCAACCTGAAGTAAAACAATCGGCGATACAATATGTACATGCTGTTATTAAGGAGATTAAAAGAATAACAGAAAAAACTAAAATCATAGACACAGCGACCACTGTCACAGTGTGACAATCCAGCAACAAGCTCGAATATTGACTACTAGAAACAGCATCTAGAGAGAAGTCAGATAAATTCCAGTGTGTCACAGCATAGTATTACTGCACAATATTTGCCAGGCACTTAATTAAGAGCAGTCAGGCGATCACCATCTATAAACAAGAGCAATTGAGATAGCAAAACTCCTGCACAGCGCTAACAGTCCCCCATCTTGCTGCGCTCACCAATATCGTTGTTGCTACTCTCTAATGACTCATTGTTATTTGACTCTGCATTGACACCATGCCACAGCCGCCATATATCTTATATATAGCTATCGACTACATTGCTAATGTCAGCGCTTAACACGGCCGCGTGACACGATCATTAACACGCCTTACATGAGAGAGAAAGCGAAAGGAAACAAAAGCGGTTAGAGAGTAAACCGCTACACTACAATATTATGATATTATTATATATATTATTATATATTATTATATATATTATTATATATTATTATATTATTATTATATATTATTATAATATTATATGATTATTATTATATACAGTGTTATGATGAGAAATCCTTAAAAAAATTCATGGATCCACATCTGGATCCGGACCACCACCAAAATCTAAGGCAAGACCCAAGACCAACCCGTCCAAAAAATTCCATCAAAATCTGTCTATAACTTTTTGAGATATCCTGTTAACAGACAAACCAACAAACCAACAAACTAACAGGGGCGAAAACATAACCTCCGAGGTAATTAGGCACTCTGTTGCATTAATGCTCGTAGCAGTCATTGCAAATACTGAATATTCTACCACGGAAGTTACTCTGTTACCCAGGTGCGGCCTTGAATGCTGCCTCCACTGCATTGCGAACATCTTTCCTGTTGCCATCGGCAACGTGGGTGATGACTTTGCCCGAGTTGTTGACCACAGGTCTAGAATGCGCTTGGTCGGGTCTTGCCTGCTTGCCTCCATAGTAAAGCTTGTATGTATGATCAACCCTAAAGTATATATGTATATGTATACATATATGCTTTCGAAACTACACATAGTGCCTAAATATATATGGAAAGTTATTGCTGGACAGCCGTTTACATGTAGATGCCAATTTTTAATGTGAATATTTTCCTGTAATTTCAAGTTTCTGGTACTTACGCCGGAGTCAGCATGCCACTGATATTCACCATACTAGCTTGGTTGTCTAATGTTGGCAAGCCCATCACCGATGTACCAAACTTCTTAAGGTCGAATTTTGGATCAACTTTGGGGTATGCTCTGTTATGCCACTTCGGTTGAACATATTCGAACAGTCCCTAAAAATCATGTGAATCAATAAGTTCAAAATTGCTTTTAAATTCATTCATTCACAGTCTAGTTTATTTCAGTTAAACATAATGTAACATGAAACCACACATTTATCATCATCACTAGGCAATAGATGGAACCCCACCAAGGCAAGTCTATTAAGACTTCAACCACAAAATTCTGACGTCGACAGCGTCCAATTTACGCATCAACCTCAACTACAAGATGCAAACACGCCAGAAAAAGCTTCAAATGCGTCGAATACTATCACTCGGCATTCGGTAACCTCTAACTCCTTGGTAACCAATGCAGAGTTTGCGTAATGTGAGCACGCTACCTCCTTGCCGCCGTCGCGGCCGTAGCCGCTCTCTCTGTAGCCGCCGAATCCGGCCGCCGCGTCAAACTGGTTGTGGCAGTTGATCCAGACGGAGCCAGCCTTCAGCGTCATGGCGGCCTCAAGCGCCAGCGGCAGGTTCTCGGTCCACACGCTCGCGCCGAGGCCGTAGCGCGTGTTGTTGCCAAGCGCTAGGCCCTCCTTGGCCGTTCTGAACGGCATCGCGCAGAGCACGGGGCCGAAAATCTGCAACGCGTCGACGTGGAAACGTCCGAGTGCCGCTGCAGTTGACGATTAACGCCGCATTGCAAGAACTGTGAAGCAGCGGTGATACGCATGGTGGCGGGATTACCGTCAAAATTCATTCTTGTAAATCAGGGGTTCTTATCCTGTGATCCATAGACAAATTAATAAATTTTGGCAGTAATCCCCCACCATAGATACGACAAGGATTACTGCCAAACGGTGACGACGCTGCGTGCGGCTGCCGTATCGTTATCAGCACCGAGCGCCCGACATCTCGCCAGATGCACGCAACCGCCGACGTAACTTAACTATAAGCAAGCCACGAGAATCTCACATACGAGACGTGCGTTTGGCTTGCCCCGTACTGCAGGTTAGGTGTTCACGTTACGAGAAAGATTGTTGCTAGAGAAAATCACAGCTTGAATATATTTTGTATAGCTGTAGCAATGAAGGTAGTGAGACCTTACATTACATCTTCAAAAAATTCTCACCTCCTCATCCATGACCTTGGAGACACTTGACACTTTTGTAATAAGTGTGGGAGGGTAGTAGCATCCCTTTGTAGGAAGAGGTGCAGAAGGCTGAAAAATCTAAAGGAAAAATGAATAATAGTAATGGTATCAGTATAAATGAAATCTCGGGTACACCAAAGATTTAATAACATTAACAATAGCATGGCATTTGAAGAAGAATATTTATGCCTGCCTATCAACAATAACTACTTTCTCAGTTTAGTTCACCCCTAATTTTCTATGTTTAACTTCTCTCTTGCCTCCTCGTTATCACTGGTTTCTGTCTAATCTCCTCGTTCTTATCTGGCACCATCTCTCTAACCCCCTCATTTCACTGGCTTTTCTCCTATATCCTCGTTCCTACCACCATCTCTTTAACTTCCTCATTTTCACCAGCTTCTCTCTAACCTTCCTGTTCACATCGCCATCTCTTTAACTTCCTCATTTTCACCAGCTTCTCTCTTACCTCAGCTCCTTGTTTCCTGGCTTCTTCGACATACTGCTCCACGGTCTTCCTCTGCGACTCGTCCACCAGTGCCGCCATGTCCCCGCTCTTATCCAGAGTGTCGCTGACGCGGAAATGCGTCAGCCTTTCCTTCAGCTTGCTGATCACGGTCTCGTAGACTGTCTCCTGCACGAGCAGACGCGAGCCCGCGCTGCACACCTGTGCATGAGACAAGCACCGAGTGAACGTGCGTGTGCCCGTCTAGGCGTTTAGTTACACGTGCCGGCCATGAACACCGACTGAGAAGGTTCGTACAACAATACAGTTCTAGATGTGTACGTGCAGAACATAGTTCTATATGTGTACGTGCAGAACATAGTTTTACCTGCGTACATGTAGAACATAGTTCTACATGTGTACGTCCAGAATATAGTTCTATATGTGTACGTGCAGAGCATAGTTTTACCTGCGTACATGCAGAACATAGTTCTACATGTGTACGTCCAAAACATAGTTCTATATGTGTACGTGCAGAACATGGTTTTACATGCGTACGTCCAGAACATAGTTCTAGACGTGTACATGCAGACAATAAACACCAAGCGGCAATGCCTACAACAACAGTTACACCTGCATACGTGCAGGTGATTGACACTGCGTGACAATGTCCATGCAGATAACTTGCACCTGCACCTGCAGGTGGGAATTAAACTCAAAATTAAGGACTTCAATTGGGGAATTGCATTAATGGGGATTGCAGGTGGGAACGTCAACGTAAATCTGTCTACGCTCACTATTCGAGCAGCAGGAATCGTGCGACGCGGCGACCGACGTCGTCCATCACCTACCTGTCCCTGATTGAACCATATCGCGTCGACGATGCCCTCCACGGTGCTGTCAAGGTCGGCGCTATCAAACACGACGATGGGAGACTTCCCGCCGAGCTCCAGGGATATCTTCTTACCCGTTCCCGCCGTGGCCCTCCTGAGCAGCTGACCCACCTGTGCACGATGTCCGGAGTATTAGCTAGAGTATAGTCTTGCCGTCTTTTTCGAACGGCCCACGATCGTACTAGACGTGTCAGTTTTACTGCCGACGACCACGCACTTATTTTGGCGAGTCAATTTTCGATGTGCACAATTTTTGATGTCTACATGTTTTACTTGCTTCCATTTTATAAAAAGCAACTATGAACAATAGTTATATAGTATTTTTAATAATTTATAGAACGTAGTACGTAGGAACACCCCCCCTACCCTAGCAGGCGAGCACCCGTTGCACTCGCTTTGCTAGGACACAAATTTTCCAGTCATTTGAGACTCGCACGTTATCAGTCCTAGTTAATACTCTGCCAACAATAACGACAAACTCGCACATGAACCTAACGACTCTCAGAGCAACGACGCTGGATAAATGAATTCGCCTCGATCATACATTAATAAGAACAATTCGAGCAGAAACATCCTATAAATGAAAGTGTATAACGGTAATAGGTTAGTGTTTCACACACACGCACGCGCACACACATATATTTAAACAGATGGCCCGAGTCAGCATTACGGGGTGTAGTTCTACTGGGATAGTTTCCTGGTCTTCTGCAAAAGTAGTTTACGCTATTTTAGCAATGAATTGGTAATGATAAATTACTAGTTTAGACTTTTTATAGTCCCAGCATGTTCTTCTAAACTTTGTTGCATCTCGAAAGACGATACGATTTTCACATAATACAATATACAAGAGTAGATAATAGATACTTACTATATAGATATATCTATGATCTACACCTAATATGGCTGGTTGTTTTCCTTACTTTTCTGCATATTATACAACTTCTGCCACGCGAGGCCTTTATTTATAAACACCTGAATAGCACTTTGACTAAATACACATCACCGTGTTTACACTTCTGATCTTGGTCTCGCTCTCACCTGTGTAGATCCAGTGAAGGCCACCTTATCTACATCTGGATGCATGGCCAGGAGGCTGCCGAATGATCCAGGGCCTGTGACGACGTTGAAAACACCAGGTGGCAGTCCTGCCTCAGCGCAGATCTCAGCCAGTAGCAGTGCGGATAACCTGTGTGCGAATGCAGTGGACGTTCACTTAAAGTGATTACGTCACGAATTTCTAGCACCATCAAGTAGTATATTTGTGTGTTATTTGTACAAAATAAAATGAATGAAAATACAATTAGTGTTTCTGTTTACTTTTCATGCTTATATACCTTCTTTATATGCCCTAATTTGCCAGTGAAAAACCGAGAGACGCCAGTATCTAAACAGTACTGGGGGAATAGTGTTAGACAACAGAAATTCAAATCGTCTAGATTTTTGCAAATTTAACCAACGTAAAAACATTTTTATCAGGTGAGAGTTTCCGGATATATTTAGTAACGTTAGTTCTTACTTTTAATATAAAAAAATGGCACAAATTTTACCATAGAAAATTTGTGACGTAGTCAATGTCCATGGGAAAGTTAGATATTTTCATTAGATATCACTAGATTCACTAGATATTTTTAAGTCGATTATCTTCAGAAAACCTTCATAATGTAAGCAAATTATTGCATGTAACCCCCCAAACAAAAATATTTCTCACAGGGGGAAAACCTTCATATCTGGTGTGTGCATGTGGTGCGTGCATATATATGTGCATGTAGGGAAAAACTAGAAAGGGCAGTTGTCGCCAACTACATGTATTCCCCGTGATATAGTATGAATGAAATATCTCTGTAAGGACGTAGAAGGTAGGTAAAGTTAAATAAGTCACAAAGACAAAGGTTTGTTACACAACTCATCTGCCTGAGATGTGCAAGTATGTTAAAATTGGTTGCCTTAGGGGTTTTGGTACACGACACACCTTCTCCCAAAGATGTGTAAGTATACGAAGTTTGGTAGCGCTAGGTCAATTAGGGGCCGAGTTATAGAGCGGAAGGAAAATATGATGAAGGTCAAGGTCAAGGTCAAATAAAGGTCGTAGTAACCTGGTTTTGGTACGCTGCACACCTTCTCCCCAAGATGTGTAATGCTAGGGGCACACGAGCGATTTTTATCGCCCGATCGCGGCGATTAAAATCGCCAGTGAATTTAATCGCCCGATCACGAAGGGGCACACGTAGCGAATTTAATCGCCCGATCACGAAGGGGCACACGTAACGAGGGCAGCACGTGCGAATTTAGAGCGGTACAGCGTACGCCAGCTCGACAGAATTTTCCATCGATCCATGTGATCGGTACAAAAATGGCGAACCGCCGAAAAAAGGTTGTTGGTTGAGTGTTAGTGCTGTTTTAATGTTGCTTCTAAAAATAAGAAACTAATATTATACGGAGAAAGGGGCATCGTCGGGCAATCGAATTCCCGTGGTCCAGGACGTTGGACGTAAATCCCCGCACAGGAAAGGCTAGAGGGTCTACATCCGAATTCTAAGTAAAAGAAACTGTGACAACATTCATTCTGCAAGTACTCACGCCGGCTAATATAATCATGTAATAGTGACCTCCTCCGCTACCACGACCCCGGAGATTATACAGGCATCATAATGTCAAAAGGCATGGCCCTATCCGACCACCAAGAACTACCAATTCGCCTTCCCTTTGCGCGAGTCACCACTTCTACACTACAGTATTGGACGGCAGCCATTTTAATCGATCCCACACTGATATCGTTTCTAACCAAATTCAAAAACGCAATGAATCATTCAGAGACAAAATCACTAAATTGCGGTTTATCGAAAACTCGATCACGCGAAGCGACAAAAGACCCTCGGTCACCCCGCGCGTTACTCGCGGTTCTCCAAAACACTACGTACACACTGCCAAACCATCACGTACAGCGACTTGTACATAATACGCCTCTCTACACCGGCGTACACATAATCATTCATGTTGTGTTTTTTTATTTTCTCGAAATATCTACCAATTTTGTCGCGATACGGGCGCATCGATCGGACGCATGCGATTAACAGACAAGTGCGCCAATGACGTGCCACTGGGACCACACGGGCGGACATACCGTTGCTGAATCAGAAAGGCAATCTAGAGAATTTCAGACTGTAGAAACTGGTTGTCTCTCGTTTCTGGTGTCGATGTCGGTTTTCATCTCAAAATCCTTCCCTATTCTCAGAATATAGTAACTTCCTTAACCCCAACTTGTGCGAGGACATAATCTGCTCGTTTTTCTTTCGCCGTCAGTAAAACTTTAGTATACCACAAGTATGGTAACGTCTAGGTCAAATTAGGGCCATAAGTTATACGAGCGGAAAAACGGAAATACTAATTCAAGGTCCAACGGATATCACAGGTTCACAATACATAAGTCGCCATAGAAGCTTGTTTTGGTACCGATCGATATTCAAAAACTTCTATCCCCAAAGATGTGTAATAATCATAAAAGGCTTTGGTAGCAACAATAGGTCAATTCAGAGGCTTGTGAGTAAAAGAGCACAGTGGAAGTTCCTAAGCGGCGCCCCAGCGCTGGACCAGAACATAAAAAACCATCAGTACCCCACCACCTAGCCTTGAACCTTCCGTCGGCGGAGTGACTAAACAATTATAAGCATGGGCGCAATAATTTCGTCGCTATGAAATTGACACTGAACATCCGGAATGTACTCGACTACACCAGTGTAATCACTTAAAGTATTAACACAATTCACGCGTTTGCGACACTCCACAAAAAGTTTTATACCTGAAAGTACAGGCCTTTTTCTATGTTTTCAGAATCAACATGTCGTTGACCCAAATACCGAATTTCCCCACTGCCAAGGGCAGGGCAGCTCTTCACATGCGAGCAACCATAAAGGAAAGATCCATGGTACACCATCCACCCCACTATACAAAGACAGACCACCTATACACAGACGAGTGAAACCAAACCAAGAAACGTCCCATTATCAAGCTATTCAGAACACTACTGCGAAACGTTATTCATACGCTTAAGTATAATGCTAACCAATTATTTCCTCACTATTTAACTCCCATTAATTATTCTATTATACTTATTCTCATTTCATATTATCACTATATTAGTAATTTATATTATATATTTATTTTATTTTAATTTATATATATCATTTATATTAATTCTCATCCTTTATCCCCCATATTATACTCATATAGTTTCTACTCATTATACCTATTTATCCCTAATATTACCTTAATTTCTCAAGCCTAAATTATCTCGCTGTCTTCCGCACGGACATCACACACCCACCGAGTGTTTATCACTTTTTCCCGTCCTGTTAGACACAATTTAAATATGACATAAAGGAAAAATCAGAAAATCCTTCTTTAACTGAAACTTGACACACTAGGCTTTCAAAACCAGTTATTTAAACTCGGTCAGGTTATGTCACCATCGTACTGGACCAGATCTAAGTGAATCAGACCTAAGCAATCACTAAACCTAAGTGAGCACAATAAACAAGCTCATCAATTCGCCAGCAAAAGCAATTGCATACCAGTACACGTTCAGATCTGAAGATGTACAGACGTACCTTTTGGCAAAAAAAAAATTTTTTTATGGGGTCCACTAACAGAAACATAAACGCTTACCACAGCTTGCTAAACTGTGCCTCATTATGTGCTATTGGTGGCTGTGTATGCGTGTATGTGTGAGTATAGTTTATTAAGTCCTAAAGAATGCTCAACTGATGTGCGTGATGAATCTCATGATAACTACACAACCTTCCTCATTTAGTGCGAACATGCCGTACATTATAACAGTCACCATCATCAATCGCATGGAAAGCCAAACAAGTCCTTGATAGTGAACAGTCGCGTTATTTTTTATGGAGAGAAACTGGTTTTCACCCGTATTTCCGCATCGCTCACTACATATCTAAAGATGCCTTCTCCACACACATTTTTTCGTCGTACCTAAATACACCACTAATAAATAAAACGTAAGATTAAATATATTAAAGATACCAGTATAATAAGCACAGTTTATGCGCCAACTAATAATACAATGTAATTCATCTCACGTGCGATCTAATTA